ACACACACACACACACACACACACACACACACACACACACACACACATGCCAAGACCAGCAGTGAACGGGTTACATTTAAGTTTATTTTGGTTAAACCTAATCCATTGTGAACACTGATATAGTTTTGTGTGAGAAGCTTTACGAGTGTGTTGTCTACTACACACTCTGTTATTCCAGTTATTTATACCTTTCATTACGTGTATTTTCCAATTCAAGGATAAGTACAAAAAATGTGATTACATGGCTAAAAACTTTGATTAAAACAATCAAAAAATGGGTGTTGAAAAACCTTACCTGTCTATCCATCCCACACAAAGCTTGGCATCAAACAGGAATCGTTACTTGAATTCAATCATTAAAACATGATCGTTAATCTTGACATCTGACAGGATTTGCCAGGTAAACATAAAACTGTGTACTTTCCAGAATCTGTGTATCAACGAAGAGGTGCGCCGCCTGGGCAGCAGCCAGCGCATTAACGACCGATGCATGGAGATGCAGAAAAACAAACATGGTGAAAGCCCTGCACACACTAACACCAGAACTTACAGATGATCATTTCACAAATAGCTAGAGGATTGTAATTTTAAAGTATCATATAATCTTTAGTTGAACCAGAAAAGCTTTCCTGGTCCAAGAGAGACAGCAATAACAATGAGTTACAGTCAAACAACAGCACAAAACATGCCACAAATCAGAATTAAACAGAAATGCCGTTATAGAACGCATCCATAACCCAAGAGCTGTCTTAAAACATAAAAAATAAACAAGATTTGTTTTGCTTACACTGCTGCCCGTTCTGCCATTCTGTAGAGAAGCCGCAGCATGACGAGGGTGCAAAGCGTAAGCGAGGCCCAGCAAAGAGTGTGTGTCCCTATAAGAAAGCTTCAGCACTGCAGCAGATGAGGGACGGCGTTCTGGGGACGGTCCACGATATTGAGCAGATGCTGAAGCTGGGCAGAGAGACACATTCGTGTCCCTACTACGCCACACGCCTAGCGGTTCCCCCTGCACAGGTAACACTGTCCTCTTCCTACTCCGTTCATCCATTCCTGTGTCTCAACACAGTGGAGAGCAGCTGCTTGCTGTGCTGCTAACATCGCTCTAGCTTGTTCCTAAATTTCTTGAAAGCATCATTTATTTATGCATCTTTGTGGTGTATGTTTATCTTCGTCTGCATAGTTGGTGGTGTTGCCCTATCAAACGTTGCTTCATGAAGCCACGAGGAGGGCAGCAGGGGTCCAGCTGAAGGGCCAGGTAGGATTAGATGTAAAAACACACATCACAATATTTCATAACTATAACTAATACACGATGTGTGTGTGTATATGTATATATATATATATATATATATTTTCTTTTGCAGGTGGTGATCATAGATGAAGCTCACAATCTTAGTGACACACTTTCCAGTATACACAGCGCAGAACTCACTGGAGCGCAGGTTAACACCATCATACATCTCATGTACTTCTCATGTAAGTCTAAATCACGCATGTTCTCTGCGTGATACTGATTTGTGAATCTTCCATAGCTTTGCTGTGCCCACTCGCAGCTTACCCAGTATGCCGACCGCTATAAGTAAGTTTACACACAGACTCAAAAAAAATGCACTCGCCCACCAATTCAGCATTGTAATATAGTGCGGTTCGGATGAACGGTTGTGGAGGACAGTACATAACGACCTCCTGATTATTGATGTTTGTGTAACACCAGGAGCAGACTGAAGGCAAAGAACCTGATGTACATCAAACAGATTCTGTTTGTGATTGAGGGGCTTGTCCGGGTGCTGGGAGGTGATTATTGATTCCTGGCAGTCTGCAACAAGGGTAGGTGGGAACATTGCTCGGCATTTCAAATGATGATGTAAATGATGTGATCCATGCAGGTAAGGTGGGGCAGAATCCGCAGAGCCAGACGACACAAACAGGTTAGTGAATAAGACGCACATAAACACACAATACACATTTAAGGATACATTGCCAACTGGTCATGTTTCTTTATCTTTTAGGAACTGAACTGCACACCATCAACAACTTCCTCTTCAAGGCTCAGATCGACAATATCAACTTGTTTAAGGTGGCTGAAAGTGTTCTAATGCTGTTTAAAAAAATCTAAAACATGGCTCTTAAACGCCATATTGAAACGGCAAACTCTGAATCCTTCAATGTCCCTCCCTTCAGTTACAGAGATACTTTGAGAAGAGCATGATTAACAGAAAAGTGAGTGTTTAACATATTTGTATTTATTCGTTTTTGCCTCATAAATATTGACGGATCCACTGTAAAATCAAATGAATCCCACACGTGTCTTCTCTCTGCAGCTGGGAGGCTTTGTGGAGAAGTACGCAGGATCAGGTGTGAGTCTGCAGACCCAGAGCAGCTCCAACAAGGAGAACCGACGCACAGAGGGCCTAAACCGCTACCTTCAAACGCTGCAGAGCAACCAGATCAATGCGCCAGGTCAGAGGGATGAGTTTTACGTCGCCCGTGATGAACGTCATCATTGACGACATGTAGCCTTATGGTTGTAACGTGAAGTCATTGACTGAAATAAATGGGATCCTAATCAGCTATGAGAAAAACTTAAAACTCTTAATTTCTGGAAACTTTGGCTGTCACAGAACTAAATTGGGAGAAATTCACTTTCCTCTAAATAGTCATTTTACAACTTTACACTGACTAAGCACTTTTGCAGACAGTACCCACAATAACAACGACTACCATGAAAATGTCTCAACATTTTCTTGTTTGTAAAATGCACATGCAGGAGAACAGATATCACGTGTGTTGTTATCAAACTGGGAAAACTAGCATGTTGCTAAAAAGAAGATGCGAGTGTTTTTGGTTAAGCTGCATGTGCAGATGTTTTATCCCTCACGTCCACACTCAACAGACACTGAACCATGAAGCATTCCTCCGGTTGTTCATGATTTATCTACTCCGCCTGCTCCCATGTGTGTAGTTTCCTCAGCAGACCAGCAGGGGTCAGAGGCAGAGAAAGTACTGTCTGCATCTCCCATGATGCAAGTGGAGGTTTTCTTCATGGCTCTCACCAACAGCAACACTGATGGCAGAGTATTGGTGCACAGACAAGGTACCGTTTGAAAAAAAAAAAAACCAACACACCTCCAAATAAAGCATAGCAGTGAAATGAAAGTGTTATAATAAAAATGCACTCGCTGTTTCATGTCCAGGTACTTTGTCAGAGAGCAGCGTCAAGTTCCTGCTGTTGAATCCAGCCGTCCACTTTGCCCAGGTGCTGAAGCAGTGCAGAGCAGTCATCATCGCAGGAGGAACCATGCAGCCTGTAAGTCATTTTGACTCTCCTAAAAATAAACCACGCCTTCGCTGTGTGTTTTTTATTATTCTGAAAGATGTGACATGCAGGTTTCAGACTTCAAACAAGAGCTACTGTTTTCTGCCGGAGTGGGAGAGGAGCGCATCATGGAGTTTTCCTGTGGTGAGTGGCCCATTTTTAAAACAGCGCAGCACTTTGTGCACGTTCTCTTAGTGATGCGTTTATCAGTATTTCTGCCGTGGGGAATTTTTGACGAATAATGTAATGCTTGACAAAAACTCAAATGACAACCGTTTTTTTTAATACGAGTGCTAATTTTCCTATTGGTCATGTATGCACATTGGCTAAGAGTCACGTCATGAGCTGGCATTTGAGTTGAGTGACGGCATTGACAGATTATAAGAAAACTGACCCAAGAAGAGATGACAACAATGATGCCATCTTGTGAACTAAACCATGAATCGTGTATCCACTGTATACGAACACTAACCCTGTATTAGTATTAGTATCAGTGGGAGGTAACATTTGCTGCCCGTCATGGCACAGGTTGTATTTTAGGAAGAATGTTGTATCATAAGCCACATGAACAACACTGCAGCACTGGCACACAAAAAGAGATTTATTACTACTTTGTCCTCAAACTCACAAGATGTGGAACTTCTTAAGTCCTAGTTATGTTGCATACAGCTGTTATTTGCTGTCAGAGTAAAATATGATCATGTAAAATAATAGAATATGTTTGTGTTGTTGTATTAAATTCACTTTGTCTGTAGGTCATGTAATTCCTCCCGAGAACATTCTTCCCCTCGTCTTGTGCAGCGGTCCCTCCGGTCAGGAGCTGGATTTTACTTTCCAAAACAGAGACTCTCCACGCATGGTAACAGAGACACACACACATACTATTATTAAGTTGTTGCTTTACTATCGTTGACTATAGCTGCGTTGTTTACACAAGCACACTGCAAAATCTGTGCCTGTTGACAGATGGACGAGACGGGGCGCATTCTCTCCAACATCTGTAACGTGGTCCCCGGCGGGGTCGTGTGCTTCTTCCCTTCTTACGAGTACTCGAGGCGCATGATTTCCCACTGGGAGGCCAGCGGTGTTCTGACTCGTCTGGCCAACAAGAAGAAGGTACTTTCACCCGAGACGACCGCCTTATCTCAATGGTGGCGTGCCGTTTTTAAGGGAATCATTGTTAAAGTGATTTTTGCAGACTGTCTATAAGCTATCTCATTACTTTCTCAGATCTTCCAGGAGCCAAAGAAAGCCAACCAGGTTGAGCAGGTGCTGAGCGACTTCTCCCGCTGTATCCAGGTGAACTGTCACTGCCTCAAACATCATCACCAACATATAGATAATCGGTCCGTCGAGAGCGTTTGCCTCTACGAGTGTTACACGAGTGTCTCTTTTCCTTCCGTTAGAGGTGTGCTGCGGATGCTGGCGGGCTCACGGGAGCGTTGCTGTTCTCTGTCGTCGGAGGAAAGATGAGCGAGGGCATCAACTTCTCCGATGACCTGGGCAGGTGTGTGTTGTCGGTGAGACAGCTGGCGGTTGCATGCTGTGTAAAAGCACGTGATACTAAATGCTCTTTTGTCGGTGTGCATGTGATGACAGGTGCGTGGTGATGGTGGGAATGCCGTATCCCAACATCAAATCCCCAGAGCTGCAGGAAAAGATGTCCTATCTGGACAAACACCTGGTAACTGTCCTAATAGTCTCCACTGTGTCCACAAACCTGCCAAAACAAGTACAAGCTCACATGAGTGTGTTTTCTTTTTAGCCTCACAGTGGAGGGAGGAGCCCCGGACAAGCACTCATAGAGAACCTCTGCATGAAGGCTGTCAATCAATCCATAGGTAACGATGCAACATTCATGCAATACAATCGACAATAACTTCTGATTCCATAGCTGGTGAGATGATCGGTATTCATACGTGTTTGACTTCATCTGCCCGAAGGAAGAGCTATCCGCCACCGTGGCGACTATTCCTCCATTGTGCTGTGTGACCGCCGCTACTCTCGACCGGCTACGCTCTCCAAACTTCCAACGTGGATCAAAAGTCGCACGAGCACACACGCAACTTTTGGCCCCGCCTTTGCTGCCTTACGGAAGGTGAGAAGCAAACACGCTCAAAAACGAACTACAGCGTCATGACTGAAACGTATTCATATGTTGTCCATATGTTATGGATACTCTTCTGTCCTAGTTCTTCCTGGAGAAGAAGCAGAAGCAAGTGTAGTGTCACTCACACTGTGCTCAACCGGCCGAGGTTGGGAAGAACTTCGAGGAAAAGCCAGCGCAACGGCCGTTATTTGCAAATTTAGTAAAGAATGTATGTGTTCTATTATAAATCTATATCTGTAATACTTATCACAAGACTGCCTCAGCCCTTTTATTTGGGTTTACATTTTGAAGCTGTCAGACCTGTAAGTGCTCTTGGCTGAAGTTCAGTTTGTCTGTTTTTCAGTGCACCATAGTTGTTTGTTACGTTTCAGTTCTTGTGTTCTGCTTTGGCGTGCTAACATCTCTGGTTAAGAGAAGTGAAGTCACACTGCAGACAGAGGGCAGAGGGCAGTTATCAGATTGACTCGGGTGCATCAGTCCTGCAATGTCTTCGAGTTGAGTCTGGAACATGTCGGTTATTTTTTAATTCTGTATGTTGAGATGAATTACTGCAGCAGCTACTCTACAGACATCAGACACGGCGTTGACTGATTTACTCTTGAAGAATGTGTTAAATATTTCAAGCATTTAATGTTAAGTGTTATGTAAAATGACTTTATAAGAGATGTTAGTAAAATGGTTCCATGGTTTCCGTGGATGTTCTTATAACGCTTGTTTAATTTAAGGAAATGATGTTTTACAACGATGATGATCAATAAACTGTTTTATTATTGGGAGTTTTAGTGATGCTTTGTTAAACTGTTAGACAAATCAATGCACCTATCATTATGAAGCCAATTATTGGCCATTTTACACTGAAAGGTTTTGTTAGTAAGAGAACTTATCACTTTTTACAATATTGTTAAGTGATAAGAGGAACATGTCCTTTGTACACAATATTATGCAAAACTATTGAATGCTTTCATTATCAGTGCTTTAAAGGACCAGTGTCTCACATTATGTCTTCACTGTTGTGTAATCATTTGAAAGCAACTGTTTCCGTTACTTTAGAAAGCCATTTATATCTACATCCTCTTCACTCCGCTATGTACTTCCTACAGTAGCCCAGAATGGACAAACCAAACACTGGCTCTAGCTGAGGCCATTCACATGTCCCTGCCCGGCCACCGTAGCTCTCATACAGGCTTGGCACACCAGAGGATATTCAGATAGATCTGCAACCTTAACGCTAGGAGCACGCTAGAAATTCTACACACTGGCCCTTTAAGTGTTCATTGTCCATCGTGTTATGCTTCCCAGTCATCATCATCTGTCGTCGAATGCGGAGCGGGAAGTGGTGGGATGACATCAGACATCCTGGCAAATGCACCGCCGGTACCAGCTGAAGTTTCAGCCGACTCCCCACCGGATGGACCTTTACCAGATATGCCTACAGATGGAACAGGACATATTATTTACTGTATGCAGTTCCAACCACGTGCATCAGTATATTCAATCTCATTTGACATAAAAAGATTTCCACACCTTTCCTTCGCATGGAGAGTTTGTTGAAGAGATCAGACATAAAGTCTCCACCACTAGCTGCTGCTCCCGCTGCTGTGAGACAAAGACGGGCAGTTACACCATTAGTATTATTTTCTAATTCGTAATTGGAGCAGTGAAATGGTTTCAATCATTCCCCAGTGCTGCGCTTCAGAGTGGAGCATATAATTACAGCAAGACTTGTTATCTAGTTAGTCGGTATAAATAAACTGGAAATGAAAGCAAAAGATATGCTTTCTGATATTTATAAGCTCAAGACAATTCAAAAGACAACTATAACCGTGTTGCCATTTATTAAGTGAAGCTCACAAAGACATGGACTGTGATAACTACATGAGATGTATACACAAATGCTCAGACACTGACGTGCAGTGTAACACATTGTATGAACTTATGGGTGAATGCTGTGCTTTGATTGCATGTCTTTCTTTCCTCATCGTTAAAGCTCCTCGTGTTACAGTTAATAAAACATGAGCAGAAACACAGCCACATGTAAGCGATCAGACACCTTGCTCTTGCTCCTTCTGTTTTTTCTTCTCCATCTTGCGGTCTTTAACGTCGCGTAGCTTGGCCTTGCCGATGCCTCCAGCGTTGCGGATGGACTCCAGGAGATTAGCGCGGCCGTCTGACGGCGCAACCACCACGGTGGGAGCACCAGACGCAGGGCCTGCAAACAGAGGACACAGTCAGGGGTGGCAGGCTATTCTTTTAAGCCCATTGCTGTCAATAACAACAATGCAAGAGAGTGAATAGGGTTTCTCAGTGTGTGTGTGTGTGTGTAGAAGTGGCAGAGTTTCACCGCTTTAATACACTGTCAAGCTCCTTCGTATTCTTTTTGTCTACAAGTCTGTAGTGTGTAGCCAGAACAAGATTCGAGTTGCACGCATGCAACAAACCTGAGTTCGGCGCTCGAGAGACTTCTCTGGGGCTGTCAACGGGAGGAGGGGGGGGAGGAGGAGGGGGGGGGGGGGGGGGGGGCTCCAGCAGGAATGGCAGGAGCGAGGGCAGGCTCAGGAGGAGGAGGAGGGGGAGGTGGTGGAGGAGGTGGAACATTAGGTTGGAGCTGAGATCCTGAAAGAGAAAGAGATGAAAAGTCTACATCAGCTTTTCAAACACAGTATTAACCTAAATTGTATGTGTGTGTGTGTGTGTGTACCATGTGCATCGCTCTCCTCAGTGAAAGAGGGCAGATCCGGGATGTTGTGTGTAGGTCCTGATGGGGCAAAGCCGGGTCCGAGGTCTGCGCTGTAGGAGAGGTCGTCTGCAATGCCTGGGAGGTCCGGCAGGAAGGACGGCACATCTATCTCGGGCACCTGACCGAGGTCTGGCACATAGAAGTAAGACTCTGCCGTCTGTTCGAGAGGAAAAGATCAGATCAGAGAGAGAACATTGCATTCATGCATCATTACCAATCCTTCATGTAAAGTAGTCAAATGAGTAATGTGTTTTGGTTGGCGAGGGGCGTTTGAGGTACCTGTCTATCCAGTTGTTCCCTCTTCGTGATGGACAACGGTGCATCAAACGGCTTCTCTGCTTTTTCCGTCTCTAGCGTGTTGTGTGTTTTCGTCACTGCTCCCGCCAGAGGATCAAGGAACACATACTTCTTATATCTTCAAAAGCACACGAAGAAGAGATTTAGATAATGTGTGTTTACTGTTAGCATCTCTGTCTGTCTGTGTGTGTGTGTGTGTGTGGACTCACAGGTTCTCTGTAGTATTAAAGAGCAACAGTGAGCTGACAGATGAGATGTTGCGTGGCAGACTGCCGAGCCCCTCCTCCGTCTCATCCTCAGACTTCTTCTTCTTGCTCACACACACTGGAAAATACATTAATTTCTCCTGAAAGAAAGACATACAGAGATAGATCTGTAAAATGTCAACTAAATCTTGAATAACACAAATCACAAAATGCCACCAAAGTGCTCCTGCATGCACGGGACATTGCTTCTGGGGGATGTTGAATAATGCATTTCTGCACCAGAGAAATAAAGTAGTAGCAGTGTTTTCATTTCTCCCTGTTATCCCTCCTCTGACAAACACACACACAGATCCCAAGACCAAGCAGACGCAGCAGAAAATATGCTGTTTTTTTTTGTAAAGTTTCCTAAAATGTTAATGGAAGGACTGTGGTGTTCACAATAAATAATGCAGGAGCCTGTGCTGAGCTGTGCACACACACACACACACACACAGACGGACACAAAACCACTCAGGAAAACACTATCACACATTTCACTTTTCTACATGTCTATGTTGTTTCCGCCTCCTTTTTCACCTCCTAAACAAGCATCACCTGTGGAGCACAACACGAGGAGCCATCATGATTGCTCTGCTCTGCCATTTCTGCAGACCAATGGAACATTTCATTAAATGGATGTCAGTTGGTTATTGAAATCGGAGGCGTGAGAAAATTGACACTGACGGGGATGAAAGCTCTTCGGTGCTGGTTGAGTAATAAATGATTCTTTAATCAGGATGATGCTAAACAGCTGTTCATTCGAATACATTTTAGTTCGTTGAACAACAAAATTACAATGCGTGACGATAGTAACACAAAAAGGTGAAGCATACTTTAAAAGAGATTGTGTCATATTATCTCTACAAAAAAAATGTTTATCCAGACAACAAATAATTATTTGAAGTATTTGTCCATTTTTGTCAATCTAAAGATCTGATGGGGAGCCTTTACCTGTTCTGTTTGAAGTTAGGCAGATACTTATTCACATTCATGAGGCAGTTTTTATATTATATTGTAATACCTCCACTTAGAAGCACTTCCACTTCTCCTTCTGGATATCTGAGCTTTTAACCCTGACCCTAAGGGTGAGCCCAGGCACCCTGGGAAAGAATATCATTCAGGCCTCTTCTATCAGTGATCATAGTTAAGGGTTTGGACATAGACTCTCGTTAGACTGCTAATGCTTCACACCCACTGTACATACTGTGGATGCCACAGTGACAGTGGACACAGGAAACAGAGTCTATGGACTGGCAGAAAGAGGCGATGACGCCCATTTATTAAAAAAAAAGAAATATATATATGAACATATATAGGAAATGTATGCCAGGGTGCAGAAAAGAAGACCATGGATTCTGGAGGAGCAAGATGTCATAACTACTGAGGGGGTCATGGGAGGTTTCCCCTACGGTCTACATAAATATGCAGGAGTCGAGACTTCAGCTCCAAGCACTCCTGTCCTCGTCTGACAGGAGTAAGAGCTGCGTCGTAACTCTCAGTAATAAGATAAAAGCCATGGAAATGGAAATTACCCATGCCTCTATTTAGCCCTTTTTTGAACCCACATGTTTAGCAGTGTCAGCTGTATAAAGAGGCCCTAACACTAGTTACAGTTTTTTTTTATTCAATTGCCTTAATTCCTCGTGTCATCAACATTTCAATGCGTTTATCTCACCTGCAAGGCCTTCTCATCAAAGGGGCGAAGTTTATTCTGTATCTTTCGTCGGGGGCGGTTTTGTGAGGAGGGGTCTGTAGCCTCAGTAAAAATAGACGAGTAATCCTGAAGTCGATCTGGAGCCGGGTACTTCGCACTGGAGAAAACCTACACACACACACACACACACACACACACACACACACACACGCACACACACACACACACACACACAGAGAAAAGTGCTGATGCAACTGGCAGACACTGGGCTAATTATTGCTTTCAATGATCTTGTCACCTTATTGTGTATCAGAGGTGCAAAAGCTGCCTGCCAAATTGGAGGTGCTGTGTTACCTTGGTGGCCTTCTTACTGCCTTTGATCTTGTCGACGCGGGCCTGAGCTAGTCTGATCCGGTCAGTAACGGTCTGCAGCTGACGGCGGTTCCTCTCTACACTGTCAGACACCCTGGAAGCAACACACACACACACACACCAGCATGAATATGGACATCCACACATCCACACACAGAGGAAGATATTTCTGAGACCATACAACACAATTCAATATAGAGGAGAGCATAACACATTTCGTTCTCTATGTGCACGTTGCTGAATGAATTAATAAAGATGATGGGAACTCTTATCAATCATTTCATATCAATTATCTAATTACTAACACATCATCTGTCAGAAGCTTTTATTGGCAAAACAATTCTGTAAATAAATGAAATGTCACTCGTTTCTTGTAGTTACAGGAGACGCTTCCTCTATTTTCAGGGTGCCAGACAGGACCAGCTGTTCTGAAACAGGTGCTGTGGTATAACATGTGGCTGAGAATATGGATCCGACTGTTCAATCCATTAACTATGACATTATTTCATGTCAATTAAAACTTGGAACAGATGCTTTGATATCAACAGCCTTTTTGATTGTAGTTTTGTGCTGACTGGCTTCGTTTGTTACCGACACTGCAGTACCTACTGGCATTGTTTTACTTTACTTAACTACAAAATGAAAGAATGAATCTAAAGAAATGAATAGAAAATATGATTGTTATAATAGTTGTACCTCCACTATTCATTCCATCATCAGTTAATCTCTCAATTATTATATTCTTATGTTATTTATGTATTTCATTTCAGTAAAATGGCAAAAATAATAGTCTATTAGAAGTTACCTTACACACACAGCAACGCGGGCAAAACTACTTAATATGTGTGAAGATCTGAAGAGTAAAATATGTTCTAATTTACTAAAATATACAACTGGTATCACTAGAACTGATTATATACTGTGTGTGCCGTCTTGTGGGGACATACATCTGTCTACACAGGACTCGCCTTCCTTATGGGGACAAAATGCACGTCCCCATAATGTAAAACATTACATCGCAGGGTGAAGACTTTTAAAGTAAGGGTTAGTCTGGTCGTGGTTAGGCTTCGTATATACAGTCCTTGGGGTTAAGTAACAATTTTTTGTTACATTTTTTTATCAACCTGGCAAAATTACGTTCTGGTGGGAAGAAAAGAAAAGGCAACAATGTAACTTCTTTACATTCTAATAGAATGTAAATAAGTTACATTGTATTAGAATGTAACTTCTTTACATTCTAATAGAATGTAAAGAAGCTACAGTGTATAGAATGATTCTATTGAAGTTATTCCTTTTTAAAATGTTTTAGACGAGTCACTAATCACTTTAAAATAGTGATTATAGCTGATTTAACTTACAGACATGAGATTGATCTTCTCATGTCACTCTCTTTATACAATGATATAAATTCATCCCCGTTTTATTGATATCTTACGAAAATTAGTCCTCACTTTTCGTGCGTTTTTCCTGCAAAAGTCCAGCAACATGAGTCTGTTTTCGCTTGTTACATGCATACTGTCTTTTCAAAATAAACTTCCATCTTCACAGGAAACAACTACGGTTTAGTGCAAGTCTTCTGTGTGTTTGTGTGTGGCCTTGCCTTCTGAAAATATCTGTAGAGATGGTCTCCAAGTAGAGCAATGCGTCTGCTATCTGATGGACTGCCTCCTCTCTCCTCAGGTCTGACTGGATGAGAGGCACGGAATACACCTGGCCCTCCAGGCAGTGCTTCTCGGTCATCCTACACACAGCAACACACGACAAAATAATCAAGAACAAGGCTGAGTGTGTCAGTCAAGCTCTTGAGTTGACCATTCCAATAATTCAAACTTCAATCTGTCAGTGATGATAGAGAAACTGGAAGATAAAGTCAGCCAACTGTTTCACAGTGGTGCTTGTTGTTAGATCCAACACCACAACTGTCATAACGATATTTAGACCAGTATCCTGAGCTAACCCACACTCCTCGACCTCACCTGACTCTCACGTGACAATGCTGGAATACACAAACGTATGTAGATTTTTTTTTAATTGGCTAAAGTTGGTCCCTGTAGCTGTTTATGGTCAAATAAACCCGCACTATTAGTGTTTACAATACATAATCTAGCGTTATACGTTATAATATAGCTAACTAATAGATTGACAGTCAACAGAAAGTCTGTCCTTGCTAAAGAAATAATCGCCATGAGACTTTAACCGAACAATTCAGATTTAATTAGGTATACGATAGACTAAAAAACATGCAGTCGCGTGAAAATGTATGCCTTACATGACCATGGGTGTTGTTTACTTGTTAACGGTTACAGAAAACAATGAACGTGAGCAAGGCTATCTGTGCTAGCATCTGAGCCAACTGATTAGCAAACAGGCAGCGAAACAACGGTTCTGCACTTCCGCATACATGTGACACGTGACCACACCGAGGTCGGAGTGTTGCCTTCAAGTTCACTGAGAAATGTCTGAATTCCGACTTTCGGAAAGTAGTACTAGTAGTAGTAGTAGTAGTATTAGTATTAGTGGTAGTATTGTCTATATTACTACACTTTTCAATAAAAGCATCAAATAATAAAACTTGTAAACTATCATATTCTTATTTAAATGCATCTTTATGGTTGAGACAGAGGTTACAGAGTTTAAATTGTGGAAGTGGCCTTACGTCATGCATGTATAAAAAGTTACAACAGAAATTGATGATTTGAAAAATGATGGAAAGACTATTGATGGAAATACCGTCAGCTGAGGATGATCCCAAGCCCAATATGCTTTCTGTGAAATCAAAAGACTGTTGGTACGTAATACATATTAACTTGTTTTTTTAGTTTATTTGCGTTAAACAGGAGCCAAGTTATTGACATGGTACCCGATATAATTGGGTTTCAGATACCGTGCCTCCCAAACATGGTATTGCTGGTCGACGATTCTTCTCTTAATTTATTAAATCATCAGTTTCTTTATTTTTGCTTAACTGCAGCCAAAACAAAATCCTTACCACAAGATGGATACCCCCACACATGCCTACTGTTATTTATTAATCAATGCATATCTTTCTTCCATAATGTATTAGTCTTAGTACTGTCAATTGCATCTGTAAACAAATATAAAAGAGAAACATTAAATGCCATCAAAACAGCCGCTGATCTGGTGATATCCATTGTGTAAAATATATATATGTACTAATATGTGGATGGGCAAGTATAATTTGGCATCTATGTGCAACATTATGATATGCCTTGACTCCTCCCCCCCCCCTCTCTCTCTTTCTTTTACATGCAAGCTATAATTTGTGCATGTTTTACCTTATTGTGAGGATGGCGTGGAAAATTAATTGAAAAAGTTGGTCACAAAAAAAATGCACCTTCCGATTTTATGTGCAGTAGCCTTCACCAGGAACAGGAGAGTGGCTCAGATGTTGAGCTTCCTTGACCAGCCTGTAGGGTGCGTGCTTGCTCTGTAGCGTTCTCGTGCATGTGCGTAATGACGCATCCGTCTGCCAGCGCCTCTTCTCCCCTCCTCCCTCCTGTCACATCTGGATCTGGCTCCTCTCATCAGCACCACTCAGTGCAGTGGGAGAGAGAAAAAGAGAGAGATCGAGGGAGGGAGGGAAACGACCGGAGAAGCGGTGGCTAGCTCGGTCGGTGCAGCTTCATCCACAGCTGAGCAGAATCAAGGAGAGGAGAGCGGAAGGACATCTCACCTTCTCACCCGCACTCACGGATATTTTGCATCTCCTCTGTCCTCCATCCGTCAGTCCAGCTTCTGTTTTCTTCTGCTTCTCTTCCCTCCTTCTGTCTTGGGTATGATGATGAGCTCCAGCCTACTGGAAAATCCGGTGCAGGCGATTCTGTACCTGCGGGAGCTTACCACCATCGTCCAGAACCAGCAGAGTCTTATCCAGACCCAGCGTTCACGGATAGAGGAGCTGGACCGGCGGGTGGACGAGCTCATCGGCGAGAACAGGCACCTGCGGGACGTCAGGGTACAACAGCAGCATCCTTACCATCACCACTATCACCACCACCCCGACCCCAGCTGCTTTCATCAACACCACCACCCTCAGGACCCTCAGCTTATTACCAGTGAGGGGTCTCTGCCAGACCACGCGCCAGCACAAGCCGAGGTTACTCCGAAGGTCCCGCCGTCGCCTCCCCAACCTATGGACCCGGGGGACATGCAGCTGGTCCCGGCTGACCTATCCACGGTTTCCCCGATTGACAGTGACCCAGAAAACTGCGGAAGTTTCCAAAGCTGCCGCTCTTTAGTTCCGATGACCCCCACAACCCTTTGTCGATCCCTGGCCCTGTCAAGGCAATCGGAGTGAGTAGAGAATATTGCTGTTTGTATTTGTGTGTGTCTGTCCTAAAATAGTCCAATTGAGATAATAGGCTGTGGCAGGCTATTCAGAAAGTTATGGTATTTATATATATTTAAAAACCTCCTGCATCTACTACAGTTTCGACCTATAGCATAAATCAATTTCCTTAGCCTGTCTTGTATCCCTCAGTTTTTTGAGTAGCATCCTTCTAAAACTGTATAATTTCCAGCGTGCATGCGCGCATTTGCGTGTAGGCTACTGCAGATTGAGAGGCGTTTAATTAGGCTAATGAAGAAGGAGCTTGCACATTTTCAAATTTCAGTTGTATGTGAAGGAGGACACGTACAAGGGCTCTGCCAGAAGAGAAAGGGGTGGATTATTTAAATGAGAAGCTGGATCACGAATACTGAATCATTACGTAACAAACAGCTGTAGTAGGCCTATGCATGTGTGCGTGTGTGGGCGCGTGTGTGTGTGTGCTGGAAACATCGGCTCTGCACAACGGTCACTGTCAGCTTGACACAGGAGCAGCCTCACTTGCGATGATGAGACACCGCGAGTCGCTGTCCACGGCGCTGCTGGTTTCTCTATTAATTACTGCACGGGATCTGTGAACTCTCACGGGACCTCTGGGTCTCTGATGTTGCTGTGTTAGATGAGGCACACGTGCACACACACACACACACACACACACCAGCACCCCCTCTGCTTGGCACCAGAGCCTCATAGTACATCAGCACATCACCTAATGAGAGAAAATCCATATTTCTCTCTTTTTCTCGATCTGTGTGCGCGCGTGTATGTTCAGTTCATAAGTTGTTTCCCAGCAGGAGTCCTGATTGGTCTCTCTGGGACTCCACCCCCACTGATGGGAGCAACTCAGAACAGAGGAGGAGTTGAGAGGAGAAGAAGAGTGCAGAAGGCGATACATGCAGATGAAAAAAAAACAGTTGTTGATATTGATCCTACAGTGAATGATTCACCTGCTGCCACACATTACATTACCTGCTCTTGAGGTGTGTGCTTGCGTGTGCCTGTTGCTCTCTCTTTGCCTGGAACCTGAGTTGTACTCTCTAGAGAGCTTACCCTGCTGCAACTTTGTTACTATTTGACAGGAATCAGTGTAACACCACTGGTTCTTATTTTAAATTAGTTTATGGGGAGGAAATTAATTGTTATTACAAAAGCTGGAGGGAGAACACAGCAGAGCCATCCACCAGTTGATCCGGCAGCAGAGTGGGGGAGTGGTTTATAAAATAGCCTTCTTTTTCCTGCAGTTGCTGATTGTGTGTCCTTGAATGCAACCTTGCATCTTCACCTGCCCATTGATTTTAAGACCAGTAGGTTAACACCTAATTTGTAATTTTGCTTGCAAGTGAGGGGGAGCTCAGGCTTTCACTTGCATTTAGAGGATTCACCTTCCTGTCATTGCCTCCTGCATCCTCTCTGCAGCTGACTGGAGATCAGATCTGTCCTCTTCTTTTCCTGTTGCCAGTGACTTATGTGTCTCAGCATGTTTATATGTTACAAACCTTGTGTTTGTGTATGGGGGGAAGGTATGTCTGTGTAGATGCATGTGTGGGTGCACACTTTCTTTTACACATCGTACATTTAACTGTATATATTTATCTGAATTGTTGTTTAACTCTATAGAGAGACTAGTTTTCTTTGACCTGCAGATAAATCACTTGTGGGCTGCATATGGTTGGCTGTGAGTGTGTTTGTGTGCATTGCATTATTGTCATCTTTGTCAGTGCACGTGTTTGAGTTCTACGGGTCGAGAGACAGGATCCTCTCCTCCACTCATTCTCTGTCTCTCTCCAGCTGAGCTTCCTATCTGCCCCACTTAGCCCATGGAGCGAACAGTAATCAGCCATTCTCAGGAGAGAGAAAGGCAGAAGAGAGCTAGAAAGAGAGAGGGATGCATGTTCAGTCGTTGTCTTTGATGGAGCCCTTGAGGTGTCTAGAGGAAGGAGCTTGACAGGAGGCTGACATTGGAGTAGACCAGTGAAAGGGAAGGAGGTAGGGAGGGGGGTAAGAGAATAGGACAGGGAGGGGTTTCAGTACACAGAGAGCGAGACAGGTACAAGAAGAGACAGAACCAGAGATGATATAAAGGGTGCATTTGGGGTAGCTGTCTCCTCAGTTTATCTATCTTGCTGGCGGACAAATAGATATGTTGGACAACAGGACACGCTGGGGCATCCTGTGGCACAGGGGAAGGTGCACACAATGTACTGGCAACGTTCTGACTCCAAATGGAGCTGATCTTGTTTCATGTCAACCCTCCTCTTCCTTACACTCTCTACTGGATGCTGGCGGATGAAAAAGCATTGCGTTTAAAGTACTCTTACAAAGCAGGACAGAGGAGAGGGATGGTGTGAGGGAGGATGGGGCTCAGAGAGAGAGAGAGAGAGAGAGAGAGAGAGAACATGGCCTTACAGCAGGAGGCATGTACTGTTGAAATATTCAC